AAGACACACAAGAGGCTGGGACAGGGTGCCATGGCTTTGTGGCAGAGAGCTGAGCCCCCAGATGCAGGAGGAACACTGGCAGGTGGCAGCAAGGCCATTCTTGCCCTGGCGGTGCTGGGGCTGAGGTTCTTGCCCCCAGCATGGGCTCCTGGGGCAGAGGCAAGAGGCAGCCATGCAGCTTGGAACACAGCAGAGGTGCTGGGCTGGTTCTGACAGAGCTCAGACACTTAGAGCGAAATTCTGCATCCTGGGAGACCTGATCATTCTGGGCATCCTGGGTACCCTAGAGGAGCATGGTCAGGCCTTTCCACAAGGCAAAGGGGGCTGGGATGCTGCAGGAGACCTGGAAGCGAGGTCTGCAGCTGCCGCTAGCCCTATGACAAATATCTGCTGTGATCCCAGACCACGTGCCTCCCCTCCCGCTCCCTGCTCCACAGTTGGCTGCTTTTCCAAAGCATAACAGGCAAATCCCATCTCTGAGACAGTGAAAACACAGCTCACCCCCGCAAGGTAAGAATAGCAGATGAGCTGGGGCAGACAGACAGCCTTGACCACAGCTTCCTGCCACAGGCCCAGCAAGGTGGAGCTGAAGGAGTCCCTGAATCCCTGCACTGGGGCATTTGGAGCCAAATGGGGACTCAGGGGGACTCACGGTGCTGCTCGGAGAGGAGGGTGGCCGGTGCAGGGGTCTGAGACTTTGGCTCACCTGGGCTGAATCCCCAAAGACAGAGGGTGTAAGGAAACTCTGTCAACATCCTCCTCCTCCCTCATCCCTCCAGCTCAGGACAGGGAAGTGAAAATCACAGGGCAGCATCGAGAGTTGCCACCACCCAAGCCATGGCACTGGGCACTGTGTGATTAATCACGTTTGGTGCTTGTGCCCTAATGAACTTCCACCTAGAAAGTAAGTATTTGTACCCGTCAGCAACAGGCTTAATCAAAAACAAGCTTTTTGAGTTTTTTTTTGTTTGTGCCCAGCTGAAACATGGAAATCTGAAACACTGCAGATCAGCCAACTCTCCCGCAGCAGCTTTCCAGCAGGTTAACTTTGAACTGGGATGATAACAAATTATCTGCTAAACACACATGTGGAGGGAGCTCAGTGCCAGTCTGTCTGACTTGTCTTTAACTGTTCCTGCGCAAAAATCTAACTTTCTTTGACATTTTGTATCACTCAATTTTGTTCCTTTAAGCCTGTAAACCAGGGAAAGGGTAGCAGTGCCTTTATCCTAAGAGGAAGCGTGACCTCCTGCTTTAAAACAAGAGCTGGCTTTATTTATCCTATCCCCAAGCTGGGCTTGGGGAATAACAGAAATGTTTGTTGTCCCACAAATGACTGGTTTATCAGCTATTATTAGAGCAGTAATGGCAGTTTAGAATGAGCTTATTAGGCACATTTAACCCAATTCTCTGGTTATGGAAGATCAGGTATTTGTAACTGGGGCTATTGCAACTATTTTCTGCTGAGGGTTTTTGGAGCCGGCACGATGCACCCCCCTGTGCCTATGTAACTGTTCAGCCATGGGTGGTTGTGCTGCCACAATGGGTCAAAAGTCAGTTCATGGGGTACCTGCCCAATTGAAGAAGTTCTGGCTTGCACAAAAGACTAATTAAATTGCTTTATGTAACTCCTCCTGCCTATTGAGCTCAGTCAGAGCTCACCAGAGTGCGTGCAATCCCAACACAAAACAGCACGTGGAGAAGGTGGGACTGAATTTGCTGGTGCGAGCTAGTTTTGATGGACACTTCACAGCGTCCAAACCTTATCTTCAGTAACGTTGACTTGGAAGGTAGAATTTGGGCTCTGTAAATACATTTTTTTCCCCAAAACAACCTGCTTTCTGGTCACCTCTATGGACAACACTATTTCAGAGAGAGAGGAGTGGGGCCTGATCTAGTGTGTGGCATCTCTGCCTGCTGTGGGGAGGTGGAATGAAACGATTTGTAAGGTCCCTTCCAACCTGCATGTTTCTATGATTCTATGATTCTGTGATGACCTGCAGAATGGGCAGAGCAAGTAGGGTGGGTGGGCAGAGTGGGGAGACCATCCTTAGTGGGATGGGGTGGGAGGGTGCATGTGGCAGTGAAGCAGCAGCTTCCCAAGGACAAGCCACCTGCATCCTGACCTGAGCTTCTCTGCTGGCAGGGCATGAAATCCCATCTCCGTGGTAGCAGAAGGCAAAGTCCCCAAAACCTGTTCTGGGGCAAGGGCTGCCTCCAGCTGTTAGTGTACTTTGGTGGTGTTGGACTTAGGCCTGTGTTTGTGCAGGAAGGGTACCTGACCACTTCAGAAAGAACCATCTCCAAGCGAGCCAGCCATGGGCACTACTCCTTGCTCCCTTTTGCCCAGGGTCAGAGATGATGCTGGGTTGGGCTCTGTGAGGGAACAGAGCCTGCAGGGTGTGCTCCCTGCTAAGAACTGGGGCCCACTCTCCGTCAGGAGCAAACCGGTGTCAGGGCACGCAGCAGCAGTGAGCTCCTCTCCGGGGATCTTTCCTCCAAACAAGCACGGTCAAACAAAGCCAGGGGGACAGAGGCTTTCCTGACATTGTCAGTCCAGGCTCTTTGGGAACAGAACAAGAGGGGTTTTGGAAACAAGCAGCACAAATATGTATTTACACATGCACACAATAGGCTGTGTGCTCACAGTGTGGGATGTGCTGGTGCTGTGGGCAACCCTGTGTGATTGGGTGGTGGGACCAGCATGGTCAGGGACTAAGAGACATCTTCACAGGTGTCAGGATCAGCTGGTCAAACCTCTTGGCTCTCAGGCTGCCTGCAGTCCTTTCCCTTCCTCTTCAGATTTCGAAGAGTGCCCCAAGCTCTCCTGAGATGATGCAGGATAAAAAATGTCAAGTACTACAGAGAGAAGCCTGGCTTTGTGCAATATTCCAAGAAAACAGCTGCTATAGATAGTGCAAAGGAGAAACGGAACTGGAGCACAGCCCCAAGCTCCAGCTCATCCCCATGGAGATACTACCCCGAGCTCAACTGAAGGTAGCATTCTCCTAGAAGCAACCCAGTCAACAAACCCATCAGCAGTGGAAATTGATTCTAAAGATGCATTGTGTGGAAAGGGAGAGGTGCTGAACCCTGTTTGAAGATGAGGAGACATGGCTAGGAATGCCACCAACCTCTTTGACAGCCAGGGATCACGCAGGGCAGGCTGGAACCAGGGGGAAACAGCCTCTCTGGGCAGGGATACAACAGAGAATGAAATGCAGGTGAGCTAGTGTTATTGACATGTGAAGTTATTTGGTGCAGGATATGGTTAAATTATTTGCTGAGCCCCCACCTTTTCCTCCCCACCCCAAGAACAGGAATAGAGTCATTAAAACAGCATGTTCTAGGACAGTGGAGGTCCCATGGGAGAGCTGGACACAGCAAGAAGTACACCCACTAGTGACTGAGTACCCTTGCCTCTTGCCTCAGGGGTCCCTAGCTCTGCCAGAAGGCTTTTGGACGAAGATGATCCCAGCATCTGGTGTATGTAGTAGAACAGGATCTTGTGCTGGTCAGACTGGTTTGGGTGACCCCAGTGTGGCTGGGATGCAGTTGAGTGTTCATCCAGCAGCCTCACCTCTGTGTCTCCGCTGTGATGATGCTCCATTCCAGTGGGCTCTCACTCCCTGGGGTGATATTCACCTACCAAGCCCCTCATGCCAGAGGAAGCACCAGCCCCTTTCCCTGCCTGCCTGGAGGCACTGGCAGCACTGGCTATAGACCTTAAAGGATGAGTTACCTGCTTGAGTGAGGACTGGTGTTGCCAAGACATGCTAGTCAGGCAGCCAGCACTTGGGAAAGAAGGAAGGAGAATGTGGAAAGAACAAGTCACTGCACTGGGAACATATGGGATGGCAATCAGGGAACGACAGCAGCCTACATACTCCTTAAAGAGAGAGTAGAGACCCTCATGAGTGAGTCCTCACAGAGCGTTCAATTAGTATTGCAAAAAGGACACTGAACAGCCTTACTTTCCTCTAGCCCAGGAATGGAGGGGCAGGAGGAATAGAGATGCTATTTCTTGTGCCAGGTAAGTTCCTTGGCAAAAGGTGACATGCTTGTGCAGGCTGCAGCATGAGGGGCTCATTGAACAGAACCAGGGAGCTCTTACCCCAGAGCATGAGGAAGAGGCACAGTGCAAGGGACAAGGGAGGACTACAGCAAGGGTGACATCTCAGCTTTTGTCATGTGGTCTCCATGTGGTCAAGATTCACTTATTTCTAGGCAAGCTCTCCAAGGAAAGGATGCTTCTCCTGGCAGCAAAGAGCAGGAGTGGCAGCTGCCAGGATGCAGCTGGAGCCAGCACAGCCTTCTCTTTCTTAGCCAGGTCAAAGCAAATGCAGCAGGCAAAGCTCTCTACAGGGCACAGTTACCCTCTTCCCATCTGGAACAGCAGGACCAGCTGTCTTGCTGCCACTTGCCTCTGACTGTCACCACCCCACACCATCCTCCTCGCTCCCCTGCCCCTGGAGCTCACAGTGAGGTGGCAGTCCCTTTTGGTCAGGGCTTCTCATAAAGACTACAGGGGATTATCCTCTTTCTGCTAGCCTCACATCATCTCATAAGCCAAATCACTGTCTGTCTCACCACTCACTGGTAACATGGTGCCCCAATGCCGATTTTGATAAGGAATTATCTCCACTGCCACTAGGTAGCAAGTATGGGGTTCTTCATGCTGGCAAATGCAGGTCTCTCTGACATGGCCACAAGCGTCAGGATCCAAGGGGGATCTTTGGGGAGACACAACCTTGTTAAGTGCTGGTCTGCATCGCTGGGGGACACGCGTGTGAACCAGTGGCAACAGAGCAGCAATGGGAGTCCAGACGGGCAAAAAGTGTTGATCTAAATGAGCATAAAAATGAACACAACTACACAGGTCTTCCATGGCGATAGTGGCCCTTTTGAACATCTTAGCAGGCCCTTTCTTTCTAAGGCAGATTATTTTCTAAACAATGGCAGAGGCTGTTACACCAATACAACCTTGAACAATGTCGTACCTATATCATCCATGGAGGAGAGCTTGCACGTTCCGTAAGGACAGTGATCTGATGCCTTCTCTTCTGCTTCCATTGTCATGGGGTAAACTCGGAGCCTGGAAACCCAGTTGAAGTGAAATGTCAATCCAAAAGCTCAGAAAACCCTTTTCCAAAGCCTAGTCAGGAAATTAGGATGGATATCTCAATAGAACAGACTTTCCGAAGAGATTTCCAAGAATTCCTGGATTTGGACTCACGTTGTTACTTCTCTTATCAAGCAGGACATGCGTATTCATGACAGATGAGGACTAGACTTCTACATCTGCTACAGACATTAATTTCAAGAGAAATCAGAACTAATGATTATGTTTTGAGATTACTAGAGGTCCTTAGTGTCTACAGTGGAACACAGAAAACCTGAATTTGTACTGCTCTGCTGAGGCCTCTCACATTCTGGAAATGAAATGGTTTGGCTGTCCCGGATGCTGAACTTGATTAGTGTCCACCAGAAATGCAGTCAGAAACAGGACTGCGAGGCTGCTTAGTGTTGCTTTTCAAGGACAGCTTTGTTGCTCAATATCCTGAAACAATATCCTGTTTTCCTCACAAGAAAAAAATTCCTAATAGGATTATTATTAAATCCGTCTTTTAAAGGAGACAAAAATGCAGCAACACAGAGCAGGAAAGACTCCTTCCCATTTTCAGTAAGATGGAGAAGCAGCAGGAACAGCAGAAGCAGGAACACCAGAGATGTCCTGCAGCTTCTCACCTGCCCTTCCAGTCCATCACTGCTCTGGCAGCTCCCTGCTCACTTGAGCTCTGAAATCCCTGGCCTCTTGTTTTGCACATTGCTCTAAAACCCACACTCTAGGGCATTGCACATCAGTGCCAGATGAAAGACATGCTCTCTGGCTTCATTCATCCCAGCAGCACTGGGTCTTCTCAAAGGAAACTGGAAGACCATGTCCCACCTGGGATTCACCACAGCACTTCCCACTGCTTGTCCCCAGCAGAGCAGAGCACTTGAGCCTAGGTAGGATCTTAACAGCAGAGCCAAGTGGCACTTTGAGTTTGATCCAAAATTGCCTCTTTGAATTGTTATTTATCTTGTTGTTTAAGCAAAACAGAGCACAGGCCTCTCCCTGCTCAGTCACACAGGAACAGATGGATCAAGAGATCCTCCCACCTACTCACTCTTTGGGTTATGGTGTCTCACCTCAGAAGTGGGTGAAAGAGTTGGTTGTAGTCCCTGGCCTTTTATTGAGTGCACCTGGTCCATTCAGTGCCTCAACACGCTCAGAGTACGCCCGTGACCGTGCTTGCTGTGATGGAGGAGCAGTGGTTCTTTTGATATGGAAGAGCTGGTACCTCCTCACGGCTGCTCTGTCTCCATCTGTGGAGAGTCACTGTTTATTCCTTTCTTTCCCTTCCTTGACTCACAGTTGGACTACACCACTCTTCTTTTGGCTGTGAAGCAAATCAGAGCATTACACATGCAACCCAGAAGTCAAGTAGCAACATTAGGCTTTGGGAGACAGCAACCAAAGAAAAACATGTCGAGCTAACAGTCCCTTTCGGCAGGACTTGGGACATGCAGGGGGTGAAGAACATGGGATACACTGCTGCCACAGGCTGGCTTGCATCCAGAGATGAGGAGCTCTGCTTGGGATGGGAACGTGCTGCCAGCAAGGGCCTCTCCCACGCACCGTTTGGCATGCAGAGCCTGGGACTGTTCCATCCTGCAGGACCAAATTGTGAGTGCTCCTTCACATCTCTGGGTACAAAGGGCCAGCTGAAATAACTGTGATCCACCACAAATGCCCCCCCAGCAGTGTGTCCTTACCTTTATGGGAGCACGCTAAGAAATGTTGTGGTGACCACAAAAGCACAATCATCAGGCAATGTATTTTAATGGATTTTCAGGGGCTGTTGTGTTTTAATACAGACACTGTGCTGCACTCTGCACCTGAAGGGGTCCAGGACCACCAGAGGCAGGACCAAGTCTGCTAGGACTGGGGCCAGGATCCCAGGAGTGGGGTCAGGGCCCCCCAGGAGCCGGGCCAGGATGCCCAAGAGCAGGGCCAGGACCGCACGAGTGGGGTCAGGACTCCCGGGAGCGTGTCCAGGACCCCCGGGAGGGATGAGGGCCCGGCAGTGAGGGGCAAGGGGATCCTCTGTTCCTGCCTAGTGAGTGGAACTCCTGCGCCGAGTCACCCCGTGGAACAAGTTGAGGGAAGTCCCGCGCTGCCGCTGCGCCGGGCAGTGTCATCCGGGCCGGCCTCCCAGCACACTCGGCCCCAAAGCCCGTCCCGCCGCCACCGGGGGCCCGTGGGGCCGCGGCGGTCCGTGCCGGGCGGTCCGTGCCGGGCGGTCCGTGCCGGGGCAGTACGTGCTGCGGCGCACGGCCCGGCCCGCGGGGCCCGTGAGGGCGGGCAGGGGTCGGGGGGGCCCGCGCGGCGCA